AGACAGGTACTTGAGAAATTGTGAAAAGGGACTTGGGACAATTTACCATATCTACGCTACTATAGCTCTGAGTATATCCATACAGATATTTGGCTTTGTAAATAAGATATGAAGTATTATTCCTCGCTGACCAAGTGTAAAGGGGCTTATTGAGCTCAGCACATTACCAGTAAGGTTTTCTGGTATCAGTATCTATGTACAGGTATTTCTATATGGTCAGAGGTATTAGTGGGAGTATATGTCGGTCAGCATGGTCAATGGCTTTAGCTGGAGACCAGCAGAGATCTCGTCTATTGTGATCGTCTGTAGGACAAATGGCTATATTCGAATCCAATCTTAGTTTAAATAAGTACAACAGAAAAGATACTGATCTTTTACTTCACCCTCAGAGAGATAAATATTACATTTAGGAAAAAGAACAACTTATTCAATATTCAAGTCAAGTCAATCAAGAATGATTTAATTCTTGTCAAAGTTTATATTTTCTTTTAAAGTAAAATACTGGCTAAGAGCTTGAACTATTTTCTAATTATCAACATCTGACGTACGTGTCGTATATTTTATTGGGCATGAATACCTAGAATATTTACTACCATTGCACGATGTGTGAATAGTGCTCACCTGAAAAGTTATATCTGGTGAATGATCCGTGGGTGTGACAATGGGAAAGACTCGGGTAGAAGGGAGAGTTACTCGGCAATGTTGACACATCTACAATACCCTACAATCCCACAACAAAACAGCCCAATAATTGTCATAGATGGCGATCTCCTCTCAATAAACACACTGGTTCATATCAATCTAACTTATCTCACTATTTTCTTCTTAAGAAATCTTTACAGTTTATTCAATGCTGCAGAAAAAGTTTGCCTAATTTAAAACATTTTGCTTGAATAGGTCACGGTAAAACATCAATTAATACCTTTCATCCACCTGTGGGTCTATTTCTGTCTGGTGTTCTGTGGATTCTTGTTACATATACAGCTATTTGTGGATATAAGAACTGAACTTAATGAACATATAGGATCTACAGAGCACCGAACACCAAACCTTCACAATGGTGTAACGTAAACACTTCTGTAATACACAAGTATTTACTTTTTTGTTTAAAAATGTTGCAGCTGCACATTCTTATAACAAATTAGAAGCGTAATAATTACCTGTACAACAGGATATGTTTCAATTATCTGCATATAATAGATACCAGAAATAAGATTGTACACAATATATACATAGGAATACAGAAATGCTTTTAAAATAAATGAATAATTTTTCTTAGCACCTTTCTGTATATTTATTGATCAACAAAAATGCAAACATTTTCACATCATACATATCCAGGTATTTACTTATTAAAAGACATTTATTAATTGAAATCCCTTCAAAATAATGCCATGATCTTTAATGCCAAATTGTCTCCCCTTATAAGAGATTTTTTTAATAGAGATAGGAATGTAAAGGTTGTCTTTTCTAGGCCAGCAATAAAAGTTCTTTCTATGTTTTATTTGTATTTGTTACAACAAAAACAGTTTGACAAATGAATGGAAACAGCCACATACATGTAAAGATCCAAGCCCTACAGAATATCTGCTGCACAATCCAGGAAAAAAAAGATTTTTATAAAGTTTCAGAAATCTTATTTATAACTAATGAGTATGAAGATAAATGTGTTTTATTTCCAACATAAAATTGAAATAACACTGCATAATCTGTAATAGAAACGATTTGTTGTAGAAAAAACACCCAACCTTTTTAACACATTTTATCTGCCTTTTAACTTGATGACTATCAACCATTTTTATCTAGCTTCATTTTTGCAATAAAGAAATGTGGAGGAGATATGCTAAATTGTGTATTTGTAAAACGTCATGAGCTCTTGATGGCTGTAAAATAGATCTAATGTGACATTTACAGTGTAACAGAATTTCTGATGCAGACAACATTTAACATTTTCAGGTACAAAGCATTTTTAATCATTAGGAGATGGGTATGTAATGTGATGTACAGGGTACATATCATATTCACACTCCACACTCCAGTGGTAAACTCAACCTGACGTACCACCCATATTGCAGAGTACAAAATGATGGAGTCGAAATCGAGACTTAGACATACAGATTTTATCAAATATTTATGAGGAGCAGGATATTTCCACAATATTATATTTCATTTCATTAAACCTGTAAAGAAAAGATAATTGAAATATTTTTTTTCAGGAAGGTTTTGCAAATATGAATTTCTAATATTCAGAAAATGATCCTGGAGTCCTGGAAAATTGTAGCTGTTACATAACCGCCTTCAGCTCCATCAGTGGAGTGTAAGACTGAAGTAAGCTAGAAGTCTCTGGTTCAATTCCTAGTAAAGGCACTGAAAAACTGACCTCTGCCACACATGTTTAAAACAAATCACAAAGTAGCATCATTGTAAAAAAACAAATGTAAAGTTACTTTGAGCATTCATCTTACTGTAATTCCCAGAGGCCAACACATTACTTCTTTAAAATCTGGGGGCGCATTTAAAAAAGAAAAACATCTGGGAGGCCTTTTACATGCTATCCAAATCAATCAGGGTAAAGTGATCAGCACAGACTCGTCCGTTTGTCAGCTTCGCGAGAAACACAAATCCCCACATGTAGGGAGCGTCCAGCTACACACCTCGGACATTCACCTGCATGAGGTTATATAGAGCAATGCTCTAAAAGAGTGAGATTTGATAGCCCCTAACAGGATCATGAAATAACATTAATGTCTAATTTTGTTTAACAGCAATATGTATGGTCTGATTGACATATTGCCCAAATAAATACAGTATTCAATAATTTAAAAGTAACCAACAACTTTCTTCTGTAAACTTAGAATACAGGTAATACTTAACATGTAATGTTACCAGGTAGCAATCAAACAGGTTTAAAATCTTCTCTAATTTGAAAATGATTGATTTATAGACTGTACTAACATAGGTGTGAAGTCGGAGGTAAACCTGTCCCAAACATGTTTGGTAGCCTCTTTATGTAAAACACAATCCACTTTCCTCCAACTTAATGCATTGGTTTGGGGCAATTTTACATTTGATGGCCTCTTCAGCCTTAACTAGACAATATAACTAGTCTTATCAAGACTTCATCTCAAACAAACCTGGAGCAATTTCTGCTCACAAGTACTTGTAGATACACACAAACTGTACAAAACACAAGTAAATCATAAAAAAACATAGTAAGTGCAATATTAACCGGAAATCCTATTTATTGCGTCATTGTATTTCTGACATTGCTAACCTTTATCAGTAGATATATCACTATTTATTTTTCTTAAGAAAATATTGTATATTTCCAAATTTCAGTAAAGAAATTATTTCACTGTTAACATTTCCAGACAAATCTACTTTGAAAGGTTCATGAATTTCAACTCTGGGTGGCCAACCTTTCATAACCTTTTTTTTTTCATTCCACAACTTTTAAATTCTTTTCTTATCACTCACTAACAAAATACTTATTGAACTTGTGTTACATTGAATTTATCTCATATTTCACTGGTGTCAAGGCCAAACAAAGAATATGTCTGACCTTCGAGAGAAAAAGACAGATATAAGGGCAGAAAATGGGTTTTATTATGCAATTAGTTCTAAGTTGTGTCCTTACTTAGTTAGGCTATGATCAAAAGATACAGAGATTTATTGATAGACCGTGCTTTACTTCCTATGAGCATGTCACTAATCAGGCAGACAGGTATGTGTGCATTAGTTGCAAGATGTCACAAATGAAAGTTTGACATAAGCGAACTGTTATACCGTTTCTCAATATGATTTTCATTCTTCTTGTTAGATGTGTTCCTGTGATATACTTTTAAAATGAAACGCCATCACAATTTTGTCTGAAGTCTTTTGTGAAACTTTAGCACAGAGCAATAATGTGAAAGACTGACCCAAACAAGACTTTCCACTCAACCACCTCTAGGCAATTAATGAACTTTAAAAAGTGGATGATTGGTTTTGTAAAGGTTTGGTTATATAAGTCATTCGAGGTCATTCAATGTCACAGAATCTTTGCTCTGATCATCACATGCTGCACCTCTTCAACAGGAAACTTTGCCTCAATGTACAAGTAACACTATTATCTATGTACTCAGGGTAGAGTATGTGGTGTTTCCCCAACCAGAAAAAATATGCTACACTATATGAAACCCCGTTGTTTTTATGTGACCTTTGGCCTCACACAAAACATGACTGTAACTCTAGAGCATGAACCTCTATACCCTTCATAGAGTCTTTGTCTGAATTAACTCGATACATTGACAGAATACCGTACTGTAACAATCCTCGCATATTTTGCCAACTTTAAAATATACATTTTGGCATATCTTCAAACTATGCTATTAAGTTTCTTACCAAAGGTAGACAATTACCTAGTTTAACATACACATGATTGTGACAAATATGTGTAAAGTTAAATGCTTATTAAATCCTATCTTATTGAAGTTTGTTGAAAAAAGGTTTGATAATTATCGTAAACATCCGCTCTTCGAGTTAAACACATTGTAAAACCAGTCCTACAACATTCAGCATAACAACTTTAACAACTGAAAGCTTGTGAACCACATAGTTCACCCAGGTGGTATCTATACCCAGCTGTATGTACAATGGCCCTAGTTCATACCCATGATTTCAGGCCTAACTCTTTACATATCACCAGATTTCTCATCTTAACTTTAAAATATCTGTTTGTGCTGAGTACTTTACAGAAGTGTGTAAGTCTGGCTGTTGATGGTGGATACTGTTTGTAGAGCCTGTTGTTTATCTAATGAGTTTATAATGCCTATTACAAGATACAGCCTTGTTTGTATGTGATAGCAGGCAGGTTTCTGTGATATTCCACTGGGAATGATACTGGGATCTGGAGTATCCCTGTCTCTGCCACAGCTTCTTTCATCATCAAACTAGAAGCTGACTGTCAACAAATATACCAACCAAGTCACAGCCACATAATACCCATTTGAAAGACTTACCTTTGGCCATTTCGGGTTGATCTCTTTCGCCTTCCGTGCGTCCTCTACGCTCTTTTTGTACTGCTGCAGTTTGGCATATGCAGCTGATCTGTTAGTAAAGAGAATATGATTCGAAGGGTCCAATGCAATAGCCTCGGAGTATAACTGAACGGCCCGTCGGAAATCTCCACTATTCACTGCCTCTGAACTCTCCCGAATTTTCTGCAGGTACAGCGCCTGGTTACCACCAGACAGTGTTTGACCATGACCTGGGTCAGCCGGAGGAGGTCCATGGTGGTCCTGAAAAACAAAGGTCAAAATTCAGCATCAGCATCAAATATTTGTTTTATCTTGATCAACAAAGCATATAATTAACTACTGCAAGACTAAATGTCAGAAAAGGGAAACAGTAGGGCCCTTCAATAGTGTTAGCAGTGATCAAGTACAAATATGAGATACAAAGGTAGAAGTTTTAGAGACAAAGGAAGGCACAGTGAATCAGGAAACCAGTTATAAGCACAGAGTACCATACCTGGGATGTTTGCAGACAAAGCTCTGTCATTTATAACAACCATAAATGCCATATCATGACAGCACAATGCTGTTTTCTTTTTCTATTAATTATTTAATCACCAGTGCAACTGGTCGAGTAGAACTAACGGCCATTTTGACAGTGAGCTGCAACCATTTTCTGGAATCCAGATATGATGTTGTAAAGGTCACACACTGGATGTTAATTACATTGTCTTATATTGTAATTACACTTCCTTTTGGTTAGGTTATATCCTGGCATTGCCATGCTGATATAAATACACACATAAATTTTGTAACTACCTTATTTAACCTAATCAGAGCTCATCTTTCTATAACTATCCAATCCTTCCTCCTTGAACAGCTATGTTACGTATATGTATGATCAGAACCAAATACAAACAAAAATTCTGTAACTATTCAACCTAATCAGACCCCATCTTTCTATAACCATCCCATCCTCCCTCCTTGAACAGCTATGCTACTTGTATGTATGATCAGAATCATCAAACAAATCCATGCCAACCATGAAATATATCAGTCAAATCTAAAGAACACAGTGAAAAGAAGTCAAAACTTTCATTTATCTTCTCATCACAAATAAAAGAGAAATGATAAAAAATTGGTATTAACTTTTCAGTATTTAAATGTACAGCCAAATAAAACGACATCAGCACTAACTATTAAGAATTGCTGACAAGATTTCTTGTGTCCTGTGTGTGTATTAGGTTATACACATACATCATTTCTATGATATGACAAACTCCACACAACTATTGTCTAGCCTCAAGGAGTAAATTGTTTTCACATCAACAGTGATTCATCACTTAGCCAACAGGCTACAATGTCTAACATTCTTATAACCAAACCTCATATTCAGAGATAAAAACCAAGTTTCTGCATACTTAATTCTGATTTCTGGATTAAACTTCTGATATATATATATATATAGATACCATTAATATGCTAATTTGATCATAAATTGCCTCTCAGGTACAGACATGTTTACAAATTTTCAAAGATTAAAAAAAAAAAAAAAAACAATGAATGACAAATTTCAATTGAAGGTAACTGTCCTTTGAAAATAAGGTCTCTTTATTTACTAATGAATTGTGGTATTTGATATGTAATTGATTACATCTATTTCAGTATAAATGTAATTCATCATCGCCATGGAAAGTTCACAAACTGATTGCAATATATCTTAAACATGAAGATGTATTGCTCTTCTATTTCATAAAAGTCATTTAAATTTTAAAAAAGTTAACACATGAATGTCTAAAACTTCAAAGGTAAAATCTGACTGATCTACTTCAAAAATGTTTACCCTTCCTTTTCCTTGTCTGCAATAAATTTTGTGAGGATGTCAAATACATATTAATGTAAATAAATCAATATCTGAAAATTACAAGTTTTAATGAATGACAGCAAGCTTCAATTACATTCTTTAAAGTATTTGAATTTTTTTCCCAAATTTAACCCATTGATAACCAAACAAAATTAACAGGAACTATGATAAAGGACAAACAAGTATGCTAATTATTTTATGTATGTGCAGTATGATGAATGGTGGAAAATTTTGACATCAGAAAAAATGCAGGAAAGTCAAGTGCACCTTTAATATGTAACACTGTGTTTCAGAGTGGAGTCCATATGATCTCAATTAAGTTTAATCAGCAATGAGAACCCAATCTTCACAATAGACATTTTTGAAGAAAATCGTTTATAGAGACTAATTAAGACAGGTCCAGTGCCAAGTCAGCAGCTGTCTTAAGACAGGTCCAGTGCCAAGTCAGCAGCTGTCTTAAGACAGTTCCAGTGCCAAGTCAGCAGCTGTCTTAAGACAGTTCCAGTGCCAAGTCAGCAGCTGTCTTAAGACAGTTCCAGTGCCAAGTCAGCAGCTGTCTTAAGACAGCTACAGTGCCACGTCAGCAGCTGTCTTAAGACAGGTCTAGTGCCAAGTCAGCAGCTGTCTTAAGACAGTTCCAGTAGCAGGTTGATCAACACCTGTCATAAGACAGTTCCAGTATCAGGTTGATCAACACCTGTCATAAGACAGTTCCAGTATCAGGTTGATCAACACCTGTCATAAGACAGTTCCAGTAGCAGGTTGATCAACACCTGTCATCAGACAGTTCTAGTATCAGGTCGATCAACACCTCTCATAAGACAGTTCCAGTATCAGTTTGATCAACACCTGTCATAAGACAGTTCCAGTATCAGGTTGATCAACACCTGTCATAAGACAGATCCAGTAGCAGGTTGATCAACACCTGTCATAAGACAGATCCAGTAGCAGGTCGATCAACACCTGTCATAAGTTACAGTCCCAAGTCAGTACCCACACATTTCCAGTAGCAATCATCCTTTATCTTAAGACATTTCATGTCTAGATTAAGACCACACTTACAGATATTCTATGGGGTGGTCTCTAAGCTATGGTTTTTTAATGTCATCAACACTATTTAAACTAGTTAACATTCACAAATGTCATCCTGTTCCCGGAAGGTTTCATTGGGTGATAAAAGTAACTCATTACAAATATACTACACTAATTATATAGTATAAATGTTTTAGAGTCTTTCTGGTTAGTTTGACCAGAAGTATGTCCTACAGTAATCAAAAGTCAGTATAATCACAGAGTATCCTTGAAGCTCAAATAAATTACAAACTTCTAGCCATTTACCTGGTCTGTAGACATAAAATTGGTCACTCTATATCACCTCAACCACACATCTATATACTCACAGATAAGTCTGTCAACAGGTAGATTTACACAGAAAGTGACATATACTAAGGTATATTTACTAACACAAAGATCTAGAATATCTTCATTAGAGTCTTGTGTAAATCAACACTTTAGATCTGGAATGTTAAGAATGGCTGCTCATTTGAATTAGAAAAGGGGAGATAAATCATGCACTTACTTAATGCATAACTATCCTTTAGTAAATTCCTATACTCACTCTTCCATAAATACAGTTTATTTCTATAATGAACTAGATCATATAAAAGGTGTTTACTTCTTTATCTATAATGAGTTTTATGAATGCATCAATGATTTAATAATCTTGTAGATTGTTCAATACACCTGTATATATCACTGTGGCGGAACTAGACTGAATTGATTGTTAGCAACCAGGTAGCTTGACAAGTAGGGAATCCATCTAGAGTTTGGAGGGTCCCAACTTCAAACCCCCAGGAACTGGCCTGGGCTGATCATTAGCGACCAGGTAGCTCCACTAGTAGATAATCCATTTAGAGATTGGAAGATCCCAACTTCAAACCCCCGAGAACTGACCTAGGTTGATCATTAGCAACCAGGTAGCATGACTAGTAGAGAATCCATCTAGAGTTTGGAGGGTCCAATGTTCGACACCCTTGGAAACTGGTCTGGGTCAATCATTAGCAACCACGTAGCTCAACTACGGTAGTAAAGAATCCATCTAGAGTTTGGAGGGTCCCAAGTTTGACACCCTTGGAAACTGACTTGGATCAAGCATTAGTGACCAGGTAGCTTGACTGGTAGAGAATCCATCTAGAGTTTTAAAGGTACAAGGTTCGACACCCCCAGAAATCGACCAGATAGCTTAACTATGGTAGTAGAGAATCCTTTTAGAGTTTGGAGGGTCCCAGGTTCGAACCCTGCTGTAAGGGTTTTATCACTCCTATTACATTTGTGACTTGTTTCAAATTGCTAAAAGTGAATGCTTGACAAAGGAACATTTTTATTTATCAATGGTTTGTTGAGATCCACCACATAAATCAATGGGCTAATCACCTCATACATCAAACCTAGTTATATAGCAATGGATTACAATATGTCGTATAACATAACACAACCTTTACAAATCTGTTTCTGGCTGTTTAACAAATAGGGTATAAAAGTGTCCTGATTTCAGACATAACTTCAACTCACACAAAACCATGAATCACTTTTATAATCCAGTGCTGAGCAGGTGTAACGTAATTCAAATTTGTCAAACAATTATCGACCATATAACAAGAAGCAGGGGTATACCATGTGACATTAGTACGGTATGAAGGACATATCTTTCTATTGACCAGAGGAGATTCCTACAGGATACCAATGTTTACATTAAGTCTCATGTACGGTAAACATTCTCCAAAAGACTTAACATTCTCAAATTTCCTTTTCAAACCTGATGTCATGTTATTGGTATTATCTCCTATACACAGAAGTATCTCTTTACTATTGAACTATTTCTTCAGTACTCAACACTATATTTTCCTGGCTAGAGAAATAAGTGATAAATACCTCTTCATGTTAATTTTATAATGTTCATCTTTTTCTCCATCAAATAAATATATATTGAACTGAATTCAAAAGTTTATGAAATATTAACCTTATGAAAATCCAAAACAGGTGACTATCAAAGATGAATTATAAAAATATTACATGGTTGCTGACTGTGGTTCAAAATACAAGGGAACTTTTGACAACATTTGCCCTCTATAGGGTTAAGTAAAAAGATGTTAAAGCTTAAATGTATGTTTATCTGTACTGCCAGGCGTTTTAACACTAGAGGAAAAATAACAGTTTTATGTGAGGAGGTAAAAAAATCCTAGGTGAATGTTTCTTATGTTCAGTGCTACCTAACAATGATAGCATGAACATGTACAATCCCATCCAGGTGTGTTTTTTTGCTACAGAAATGTGTGGCTGAGGGACTTTTACCGTAATATACATACTCAGATTGGCACCAGTGATTACAAGACTACATTAGACACGGTTGCCTCGTCACTCGGCATGCCAGGTGGACAAAGGATAGCGGTAAAGAACATACCAGTGTTACCTGTGTATTATCAGCTGGCCCTACCTGGACTTTTTACCTGTACACAAACATGACAATCAACACCAACGTATACCTTTGTTTCTTTAATGTCATTTATAACCTACTGTAGTGCTGGTCTGAACCAATGCAATACTCAGGAATAGGCATACCAAATAACTAGCACAAATATATTATTTCTTTTGAAACACTTTTCAATAACATATTGTCTGAACAACTTAAGTTACACAAAAGTCACACAGGCCTGAAACTTTGGTAGATATTTAGAATGAAAACGACCACATAATTCAGTTTCATGGTAATCACTGTGAATGTATTGTGGAAAATATAAAAATAAAACTTTTATGATAAACTTTTGGGTTGGACGCTATATTTAAATTGATTAAAAAAAAAAAAACTAAAAACGGCAGGTATAAGCCAATTCCAAATTTTACTGATGAATTATATTAAATATCAGTAACAAGAGGCCCATGGGCCTTAACGGTATTCTGACTATAAAAACTTTAAGCAGGGAGAAGGGTTGTTTTTTTCTACTTTGAATGAAATCTTACTAAGAAGCTGTTTTCCACGATACAGATGGTAGTGTTATGTGAGAAGTGGGTAACTGTTACAAGTGTTACCTATTATTTGACAGTAAAGTTGGAGCTCAATCCCACTGGTGAAATAGGTGTTGCATAGGAAAACCATGATTGCACAATCATGTTACAAAATGGCCTCACTGGCTGCCGTATTGAAATTTCGACATGGTCGAAAAATAATAACACTTTGTTTGCTGTCTTTCCTGAACACTCCCATTAATTTTTTTTAGCTCAATGGCACCAGTGAAACAGGAGAAGAAGTTTAAGATATGTTTTACAAAATGGCAGCAATCTTGGATTTCAGACATACCCAAAAAATAACAACAGTTGGTCAGGACCATGTCATGATTATTTCATGCAAGTTTGAGCTCAATCCCACTGGTGGGACTTGAGAAGAAGTTTGAAATAGGTGTTGCACAGGAAAACCATGATTGCGCAATCATGTTACAAAATGGCCTTCCTGGCTGCAGTATCAAAGTTTTGATGCAGTCTATAAATAATAACACTTTGTTGGCTACCACCTTTCCTTAACATTTCCACCAATTTCAGCTTAATTGCACCAGTGGAATAGGAGAAGTTTAAGATGGCATCTATCTTGGATTTCAAACATGCCCGAAAAATAACAACACTCGGTCAGGACCATCTCAGGATCATTTCATGCAAGTTTGAGCTCAAATCCTCTGGTGGAACCCACGAAAAAGTTTGAAATGTCAAAAGTATACATACAGCAGACAGTGCACAGCAGACTATGACGGACGAAGCATGATGGCTGAAGATTATCATAACCCTTTGAGTCAGATGACTTGAGTAAAATGAAATAACCTCCAAAAAATAGTTATGAATATTCATTAACCCAACCAAAACTCTGGCTAGCCAATTGAAAGTTCAAGTTCTAGATATCCATAATATAGTGACTTTATGACAAAATCAACATTGTTATATCGTGGAGAAAATTTCATTCTTCCTTTCCGTGAAGGATTCCTATTGCGAGATATCAACCACTTCACAATCTTACATATTGACCTTTTCTTTTTCCAATATACCAACATTTTTTTTTCTTGTCCTTTAAATTCCCATGTCACTTTATGACCCTGTTGCCGTTTACAGGTACACGTTAATCTATAGACCCTTGCCGTTAATGTATTACATAATGCAAGTGACACAGGCCAGCCATTCCTACAGAAATACATCTGATGTCCCGCTTCTTTATGCTACTTGAATACAACCATTTCACTTCCAATGAATTTCTATAGATGTGTTGAATAGAATTGGTGGGGTCTTTGAAACGTTTTAAAGCTACTTAAATAGACACAGGTTATTATGCTTTAAATTGAATCATCCTCCTACAATTCAGCGTATCCTACAAGGCCGTGATTTTCCTTTTGTGGCAGTCAGTGGCCATAAATGGAGGCAGGGCTTGACTTTCTTCACAGCTTTATGCGACAAAATTCCAATTCTATTTCATCCATGAATGACTCTTCATGGTTCAAGTGTCCTGGTACTGTATATGGAACAGCTTTACTGTACAGAACAGAAGTCTACTTATAACATCAGTGTATGTAGGAAGCTCTGACATCAGCTTGCTTTCATCCTGTCTGCAAAACTCTTCAATAAATGTATTTTTTATGTTTTTATATTTCATAGTTGAAAGTAAACATCACATTGGTGTACATAATATAACAACTCAGTGGCATATATATTTGAGAAAAAAATGTCGGAAGAGCTTGGATTTTTTTATCCCACGATGTCCAGTAATAAGCCCACTCATATATACCAGGTATCTCAGTTTCACAGAAATGCCTATTGATTGCCACCTTGGTCTGTAGTACCTGAGTGGTTAAGTCATCTGACTGTCTTTATCACTATGATAGTCATCCACCTCTTGGTCACAGGTTTGAGGCCTACATGTGAAAGTCTCAAGGTATTGACCACATGTTGGTGGTTTTTCCTTGGGAACTCCTGCTTTCCTAAACCTACCAAACCTGGCACATCCTTAAATGACCCTGGCTGTTGAAAGGATGTGAAGCAACAATATACAAGCGAACAAACCATAATCATTGGCCCTAAGAGTTAGTCTAAAACATCACTGACCCTTTTAGACATAGGATCAGTAGAGAATGCTGGCTGACAATCAAGTTTTCAACGGAATCTGATTCTTTACAATGAATTCTGGATATAACCACAAAACATATCCAAGGATCAAATTAAACTGCAGAAAATTTTACCCTAACTACAAAATAGAGAACAAGAAACACTGACGATACATGGACTGGATAATATCATTACTATAACAGTTATACATTTTATTTGTTTTGTTAATTAAAATTTGAAATCACATTATTATCTCAATCCTTAGTTTTACATTATAATGCCTACATTATTATTATTATCATTATTACATTCTTAACAGCCCGTCAACACATAAAAGGTCATTAGGGCCATCATATGGTAAAACACACAGCGATCCAAAAGGAAATAACA